AAAGCAGATTTTAATTCAGAAGAAAAATTATTTTTCAAAGCAGTTCCCTCAGAATTTTAGGAATACTATTCAATAAATAGCATGTTTGCCACGTTTTCACAGAGTGCTTATAAATCCTGTTGTGTTTATATGTCCTCCCTCAAACCAGACTAATATGGTCTTTACTTTTCCAATGTTCTAGTGGAGTTCATTTTTCACCAGGTAAAATGAGTTTATGGCAGGGGTGGGCAAACTTTTTGGCCCGAGGGCCACATCTGGGTGGTGAAATTGTATGCAGAGCCATGAATGTAGGGCTGTGGCAGGGAGTTGGGGTGCGGGAGGGAGTGTGGGGTGTGGGAACGGGTGCGGGATGCAGGAGGGGGCTCAATGCAGGGGTCTGTGCAGGATGGGGTGCGGAGTATGGCAGGGGGTTGGAGTGCAGGAAGGGTTCGGCAGGGGCTCAAAGGCAGAGGGTTGGGGTGCGGGGTGCAGGAGGGCTAAGGCACTGCCTGCCCTGGCCTCACACTGCTCCCAGAAGTGGCCAGCATGTCCACAGTGGCTCCTGGGAGTGGGCTAGAGCAGGTGGCTCCACCGCGCGCTGCCCTCGCCTGTGGATACCACCCCCGAAGTTCCCATTGGCCGTGGTTCTCCGTTCCCAGCCAATGAGAACTGCGGGGGGTGGTGCATGCAGGCGAGGGCAGTGCACAGAGCCCTCTGCCCTCCCTCCCCCAAGGGCTGCAGGGATGTGGTGCCATCCGCTTCTGGGAGCAGCATGGGGCCAGGGCAGGAAGGGAGCCTGCCTTAGCCCCGCTGAACCATGGGGCTGGCAATCTCATGGGCCAGACTGAAAGCCCTGACAGGCTGGATCTGGCCTGCAAGCCATAGTTTGCCCTCCCCTGGTCTATTGTATTTGATTCTGGTACTGAGGTCAGGAACTTTTGGGTTTCTCGTAGTATGGGTTTGACCCATCTGATATATTCTATGGGTTTTTGAGAATGTCTGAGGAAATCAAAGTTGCTTTCCTATGGAATACTTGCAGACATCTGTAAATTTAGCCCTTTTCCTCTGAAGGGAAATAAAGGGGAGGAGCAGCCCTCAGTCCAAGTACCACTGTCCCTTGCAATCGTATAGGGTATGGGAGTCTAGCTGGCGCTCTGCTACCAATGTTGCTGCTAATTAGGAAGGGGGAGAGTGGGAGCTCACTGAATGTACTTCCTCACTCCACCATGACAGTCACACAGTCCCACTGTTGGACATATGTTGGCAAATGTTGACTTTCTAGTGGTGATCACTGTACAACCGGTTTTACCTATGCTTAGAAATAAGAAAGAAGTGTGATATCTGATAGCACCTACATAGGAACTTCAATAAATAACTTTTAAAATGGTGTCTACTGTAACATAGTAAGCAACACCTGCAATTAATTTTCCTTTTTGGAGCCAGCTTATGTCACCATCTTTCATTTTATTTTTCATATACAGTCTAAAGTCATCCCACTGTAGGCAAAAGATCACAGTATTTTCATGTCTCACCCTTTACATATAGACCTCAAACAACTCTCCATTCTACTCTAAAATCACAAAATGCTGTAGAAACTCCCCTACAAAGGACAATCATGAAACATCCCCGTACTTATTAATTACCCTCCTGAATTGGGTCTGAGACCTCCTGTCCCTACTCAGCCACATACACCCAAATGTCCACACTGAATTTGACCACTCTACAAATGCTGGACCTGATTCTCCACAGTCTTATAGTTTGAGAAGTGATTTAGACTTGTGCAAAGTGGGAGTCAAATATGACTAGCCCGATTTATTAGTGTTTTACAGTCACTTTGCACAGATGTGACCATAAAACAAGATGCAAAGCAGTGGGGAATCAAGCCTCATGGCTTCAGACCCCAGAGCATTTCACCCACTGAAACCAACTGGATAAACCTATGAGGGAAGAGCAGTAGTGTCTGATCAATGTATGTATTACATGTCTGCTGTTGAATATTTGAAAGGCCACAAATCCATATTAACATTATGGAGCTTGTTCCTATTATGATGGGATTTGAGGCATAGTTTATGTTGTTTGGGCTACATTCATTCTGTAGGTGAAACTGTAAGGTTGTTTTATGAATTTGGATTAGAGCTGGGTGAATTTTTTCAGATCAATAGTTTATTTACTGAAAAATGCAGTTTGGATCAACCTGAAACTATTTGTGAACTTAACATGAATTTACTGAATAGTTTAGACCAAAATAAACAAATAAATAAATTAGAGAGGAGAGGAGGAGGGGAAGGTGCCACTGCCTCTCTTATAGCATCCCAATGGTTAGGTCACTCACCTGGGATGTGGGAAACCCTTGTTCATTTATTCCTTCCTTTGTTTAATCCCTCTTTCTTCTGTCAAATATTAGACTGAAGGTGGGTTAAATGCTCCTTTAAAACTGGTATGTAAACTGTTAGCGATCTGTGACAAATTTTTAATGCATGTTCTGCACTTCTTTCTAGCTTTACGGCTTTTTTTCTTAAAAACATATGAATCCTGTAACATTTTGGGGTGGTCTTGCCATTTCCTTTGTCAAAATGAATCAAGACTGCAAGAGATCACCTGACCTGTTTGAATTGTATAACACATTATAGTGTTTTGATCTTTGCATTAGAAATAATTACAAATCTGTGGGGTAAATATAAAGTTGTAAGCAAAATGACCCTAATAAGTTAACTGGCTTTACATTTTCAGGAGGAAGAAAAAAAACATCTTTTCATCTGAACCATACATTTCATTGAAATCTTTACATTATAAGCTATGTTACTAGCATGTAGATACTTTGTAGAGATAGAATATTTACATGCTTCTGTAGACTGTTATGTAGACCATTGTGTAAGGCTTAGTAGATCCAAAAGTAATTATCCCCATAAGGTGCAGTGCAGTTTAGAAGACTGAATCACTTGTGCATTTATCTTGTAATGAGATGATACTATGTAACCTGTCATTACATGGTAATTATCTTGTCATTAAAATGACCAACAGATAGTGTATTATTGAATAGTAGTTGCAAAATGAATTCTGCTTTGAAATGTAAAGTAGTAGTGCTGGCAGATAGAGCACTAGACTGGGACTCAGAAGTCCTATATCATATTCCTATTTATGCTACCAGCCTGCTGGGTGACCATTGGCAAGTGCCTCAGTTTCCATATTTGTAAAATGGGACTGATACTACCTTGTTTGTAAAGTGCGTTGAGATCTATGGATGAAAAGAGCTATATAAGAGCTGTTTCCTGATTTTCATTTTGTATAATATGAGCATACAATTGTGTTATTGAATGAGATTTAAAAATATCCATTGGATCTTGCTGTATTCCAAACCACATAGTTATAATCTTCTGATTACTTGACAATAGGCAGGTATTCTGTTATCAGTCAGATAATGCAGCCTACATATTAGAAAACTGAATTAACTCTTCTCACATGCTAGATTGACAGACAATATAGCCAACCTGCCTTCAGAAGCATTACAGAGAACTCATTATCCCAACTTCCTTCTCACTTTTCCAATAATCCCACCTCTGCCCCTACCTTCATCTGCCTGTCGAGCCAAGGAAACAAGCCATCAGCAGCTTAAAGCAAGCTAGTAAATGTGTATTGTATTTGAGTTTTGGGAACTGGAATGAGAGAGAAGGATAACAACTTGGGGGGGAGGGGAAAGAGAAAAGTGGGGAGGGAAGTAGAAAGAATTTTGCTTGAGAAAGAGGAGAAGGAGAAGATGGAGAAGAAGATAATGATTGGGAAGTCATTGTGGGGTCCAAACTTGATCTGAAGCTGGAAGAGAGAGCCTGCAAACACAACCAGCTGGGAGGGGGAGCTCTCCTCAGGTTCTGTGTGTGTGATTGAAGGAAAGGACAATGGAATAGGACAAGGAGTCAGAGGTGGGGAGGAGAGGACTGGGATATGGATAGATTGGAGGGGACTTTAATTCTGTCATTTCCTAACTCTTGAGTGCTTGACTTTGCAATGTCAACAATATTATTTTAATGTAGTTTTTTGTGTGTAACAGGGATAAAAAATGAAGTATTTTCTCACCCTCAAAATGAGATTGTTCCTCAAGGTCAAGGTTGACGCATATCGGCAGGGCAGTGTAGGGAAGCTCGTATTGCTGTTGCTCGTACTTTACCCAGTCATGCACCTTTCCTAAGTATTAAAATTAGGAGATTTAATTTCAAGATGTATATATATAAAAATATATTCTAAATCATCTTATGCCTTTTTAAAGTATGTTTTAGTTTCACAGAACAGCTACATTATTAGGGAAAGTAGTACTGCTCATTTCCCCATCACTCTAAATACTTTTCACTTTGGCAGTACCGATTTAAGCACACTATCTTTACTTCCTTCTCCTACTGTGCATTACTCTGATAGAAAAGATAAGATAAGCTGACAAACTAGTCATCAGAGGTTCACTGAGAACAGGGTGAGTCCTACATGATGAGAGGTGCTGTTAATATTTTAAAGTCTTTCTTCCCTACAGGAACCAAAGTATTACATCACCACATATTTACTACAAATTGTCAGTGATCAATAGATTTAATGTGCTGGGGTTCCAGGAGGAGAACTTCTCAGCATTTCCTCTACTGAACAACTGGATTTAATTATGGAAACTAAATGAAGTGTTTATAAAACAAAACCTTGAAAACATATTTTAAACACAGAATACTTTATATGGAATCAGGAAAAAAAGGACTCTTATCAAATACTGCTATCTGTTTTACCTAGCCCTGTTACTTTGTTTAGCAGAATAAGACAACTTGTTTTTTAAAACAATGCTGTTTACTTTTTGAAAATGCCAAAATAATGATGTTTAAGTGATAATGTGCCACTTTAAATTATCTGACCTGATTTTAGTTCTGAAAAGTCAAAATGTGAAAAACTGGAATCATTCATTTGATTATTCCTAGCAACTCTTGATAAATAATACATGCTCTTTCTCTTTCACTGAGACTGTCACTGACTGCTCAACATTACTTTCAACACAGGGCCCAGCCTTCTATCCCAGAGTGCACTTCAGCTCAATTCCAAACCTGAAGGGTCTTTCCAGTATTCAGCGAGCTACCATAGCAACCAGACCCTTGCCCTGGGTGAAACAGCAACATCACAGCTCCCAGCCCGCAGCAGTCAAGCCAGAGCTGCCATTCAGAGCTACAGCCAGGTATGTTTGAGGAGCAGCATAGATCTTTTACACCACACATTGTTCAAGGATGCTCTGAGAAAATAAGTTTATTCTATGCTTAGTGTCTCAACAAATCCTAATGAACCCTTTTTGTTGTTGTGTACTATTCCCATAGCAGAATATAGTAAAGTCACATTCTTGATTTTGTAAATTTAAAGCTGCTGGACATAATGCAGTAATAAAATGATGCTGATTTAAAGAAAACATTGCAAGCCACTTTTATTTATGTACTTAAATGAGGATTTAGGCGTCTAATTTTTAGGCATTCAAGTTTGAAAATTGTGGTGCTGTTAATGTTTAATTTTTCAAATGTGCCATTATATTATTATTTTATGTTTTTTTCCTTATTTAAATATCACTGAACTAACATATAGTTCTGGACAAATAGTCAGTAAAATAGTGTTTGTACAGCTAAATTGCAGCCTTGCTGCAGTACCATTGTTATCTGTCACTTGTGATAGTTGTTAGTGCAAAGCAATCAAAACTGAAATAGGATGAAGAGTAAGACAAAAGTTAGAAAATGATGCAGAATCTAATACAGAGCTCTAATTTATTGTGTGCTACAGTGGCTTAATTCCATATGAATGGATCCTCACAGATGTAGCTGGACCTACTCCCCCGCACATTGCCATTGTTTTATCTATGTGAAGATACACAAATAATTTAGCAGGTAAATGATCAACCGATTTTAAAGGTTTAGAAATTCAGTTCAGGTAGGCATCCAAAAGTTCAGATACTCATCCTCACTCTTTGAAGATCCCTTCCCATGACAGCTCTCTTGTTTAAGTGATTTTCTGCCACCGGTTCTGCTCTGATACTTATACTATTCCCCCATTTTGTGATCTTCGAGGCTCCATCCCCTTCCTCTGGCAGTTTAGCTTCAGTTTACATAAAAACTTTGCTGCCTTATCTGAATCTCTTCCATCCATACACTGGAGTAGAAATTTCAGAAGAACAAGATTTCTTATGAGATTTCCAGTTTCATCTGGATCAGAAATGCCACAAGAACAGTTTTATTTTTCTCATATGATATCCATGCTTCTGTACATCTTGATTTTCGCCAACAGTAGAGGGCACAAAGATGGGATAAACAACATTTTAAAATTGGGTTTGGTTCAATTTTAGTTTTATTGGACAGTTTAGTTTGGTTCAATCTGCCCTACTTCACAACCACAGATATCTGGAAGGAAACAAAAGAGAAACAAAAGAGACAAGAGCTTTCCAAAGCAATTTTTAAAGGATTAATTTCAGTTATCCATGTTAATGTGGTGACAGGATATTGTTGCATGTCATAGTTCACTTCTTCTGCAGAGTTCTATGTTGAACTTACAAAGCCTTATAAAGTCCAGAGAGAAAGCAGTAGGTGTTAGGTAGATACTGCACAGGTATGTGATATAGACAGACAGACATTATTCAGTTCTCTCAATAGTGTGAATAAAAAAGCCTCACTATTCTCAAATCTGAAAAATGAAATAAAGCGTGGTCAGCTAAATATTGTTATGTTTTTAGTATTCTACCCGGGGCTCAAATCGAATCAGTATAGCTTCAGGGAATTAAGGCTGACTTGACACATAACAGCTGCTCTGTAGTTCTCTAGGGGGCATCCCTGCCCTCCTGCTGCATTGGAGCCACAAGGTGAACGGGGATAGCCCCCCAAAAGACCTGAAAGGCAATCGGATCCACATGCAGCCCAGGTGGGTACTTGCAGGAATTTAGGGGATCCCTGAAGGATCTACCACCTTTCAGGGTGAGTTGATTCCTAAAACGTGACTACAGAGGAGAAGGTCCCTAGAACATGGCTTCAGCAATGAGCAAGGGAATGTAGACAGACTTGAGTTGTGAGAGGAGAAATAGGCTTGAATTGGACTGAATTCAATAGTGGGGGTAGAGATTAATGGAGGAGTCAGGGGATGAGGGTCACCTGGAAAGGGGATGGTCAGAGGAACTTGAAAGTTGATAGTTGGAGCTGCAGAGAAAAAGAAATGAGTGGAGAGATTGAGGAAAAATGAAAAACTGTAAAGGGAAGAAGGAAGACAAGCAGAGGCAGGAAAAAAAGAATGGTAGTAAGATAAAGAAGTAATAATAATAACAACAACAACCTGATATAGTGTTTCTCCTCAATGTATCTGAGAATGTTTTATAATCCTTATTGTATTTATCCTCATAACACCCCTGTAAAATAGTGAAGAATTATTAACTCAATTTTACAGATGGGAACTGAGGCACAGAGAATCTATGGGACTTGCCCAAGATCAGATAAGAAGTCCATGGTAGAGTGGGGAGTTAAGACCAGGTCTCTCATGTCCTAAGGTAGTGTCCTAGCCACTGGACCATCTTTTCCCTCCTAGCAAGTGAGACATGAAAGGAAAAGTTTTTAAAAAAAGAATACTAGGGTTGTTTTTTTAAAGAAGTGAATAAAAATGGAGGATGGAGAGAGAGAGAGAAATAAGGAAACTTACACATACCTTTGAGGTTAGAAAACATGGATTGTTTTATTATATTTATAATGATATTATTAGGGCCCTACCAAATTCACAGTTCATTTTGGTCAATTTCACAGTCATAGGATTTTAAACATAATACATTTCATAATTTCAGCTATTTAAATCTGGAATTTCACAGTCTTGTAATTGTAGGGATCCTGACCCAAAAAGGAGTTGGGTGGGGGGGTCGCAGAGTTATTGTAGGGGGGTTGCGGTACTGCTACCCTTACTTCTGCGCTGCTGCTGGTGGTGGCGCTGCCTTCGGAGCTGGGTAGCTGGAGAGCAGTGGCTACTGGCTGAGAGCCCAGCTCTAAAGGCAGAGCCGCCATCAGCAGCAGCGCAGAAGCAAGGATGGCACAGTATTGCCACCCTTACTTCTGTGCTGCTGCCTGCAGGGCTGGGCCCTCAGTAAACAGCCATCATTCTCCAGCCACCCAGTTCTGAAGGCAGCAGTTCAGAAGTAAGGGTGGCATGGTATGGTAAAGCTAACCTTCTGCACTGCTGCTGGCAGGACGCTGCCTTCAGAGCTGGGCGCCTGGGCAACAGCGGCTGCTCTCTGGCCACCCAGCTCTAAAGGCAGTGCAGAAATAAGGGTGGTAATACCATAATCCCCCCTAAAATAACCTTGTGACACCCTACAACTCCCTTTTTGGTCAGGACCCCCAATATGACAAACTCTGGTCTCCCCCCGTGAAATTGGTATAGGATAGGATAAAAGCACACAAAAGATCAGATTTCACAGGGGGAGACCAGATTTCATGGTCCGTAATGCGTTTTTCATGGCCATGAATTTGGTAGGGCCCTAGATATATTTCCCTGATAGAGGAAAAAAAGGACCAGCTTAAACCCATAGGACAGAGGTAAAGAAATCTAGTAATATATATTTATATATTTCTTCCCTGTGTGCCAACATTGAACAGTTTTGTTCTGAAAAATTACACATGAGCCATTCAACATAACACAGTTATGCACAACTAGTCAGCCTGGACCAGTTAGATAGAGTAGATAGGTTATACTTATTACCTATCTATCTATTGTATTGCTGAATAAGCAAAAGAAACCTGGAAAATACAACATTTTTTCTCTCCATTCCTCCAGGTTGCATGGTGGTGTGTGTATGAATTTATATATGTAGAAGGATATTGTATGTAATCAATACATTGAATTTTTCTGGGGAAAAACTTTTGAAAATAATTGTTTAAATATTGAAAAAGATTAGTAATAAATAAATTTACTTATACGTTGTTATCTTGCTACGGGTATCAAAAACATACAAGTATAAGAACTGCTTATTTAGCCCAGTATCCTGTCTTCCAACAGTGGCCAGTACCAGAACTTCAGGGGGAGTGTACAGAACAGAGCAATTTTTGAGACCTCCACCACTATCTTCTCCTTCCAGCTTCTGGCAGTCAGTGGTTTAGGGTCACCCTGAGGATGGGGTTACATCCCTGATTATCTTGGCCAATAGCCATTGATGGACCTATCCTCCATGAACTTATCTAGGTTTTTTTTTTTAACCCATTGATACCTTTCGCCATCCCAGCATCCCATGGCAATGAGTTCCACAGGTTAATTTTGCATTGTGTGAAAAAGTATGTTCTCTTGTTTGTGTTAAATCTGCTGCCTATTAATTTAATTGGGTGACTCTTTTTTGTTTTGTTTTGTGGAAAAGGGTAAATTGTGATTGTATAGATTTCACTCAACTCCCCCCTTTAGTTGTCTCTTTTGTAAGCTGCGCAGATCTAATCTTTTTAGTTTCTCTCCATATGGAAGTTGTTCCATACCCTTCATCATCTTTGTTCCACTTTTCTGAACCTTTTTCAGTTCCACTATATACTTTTTGAGAGAGTGCAACCAGAACTGGACATAATATTCAAGGTGTGGGCGCACCATAGATTTACATAATGACATTATAATATTTTTTGTATTTTATTTTCTATGCCTTTCCTAGTAGTTCCTAATACTCTGTTAGCCTTTTTGATTGCTGCTGCAGATTGAGCTGAAATTTTCAGAGAACTTTCCATGATGATAAATGTCTAGACAGTATTTGGTCCTGCCATGAGGGCAGGGGACTGGACTCGATGACCTCTCGATGTCCCTTCCAGTCCTAGAATCTATGAATCTATGATTTGAAGATCTCTTTTCTGAGTGGTAACAGATAATTTAGGACCCATCATTATATATGGGTAGTTGGGATCATTTTTTCTAATGTGCATTACTTTGCACTTATTAATGTTGAATTTCATCTGCCATTTGTTTCCCAGTCACACAATTTGTGAGGTTCCTCTGTAGTAACTGTTCAGTCATCATTGGACTTAACTATATTGAATAATTTTGTATCATCTGTAAATTTTGTCACTTCACTATTCACCCCCTTTTCCAGTTAATTAATGAATATGTTGTACAGTCCCTCACAGACCCTTGAGGGACCCCACTGTTTACCTCTCTCCATTGTGAAAACTGACCATTAATTCCTACCCTGTTTCCTATCTTTTA